AGGCTGCGCCTTCCAGAGAGGAGGCGGAATTAGCCAAACAAGATAATGAAGGTTGCGCGTAATGGTTTTTACTGTGGGGAAAATTAACCAGTTGCTAATAATTGTATGGTCTCTAGGCCAGACGGTCCCTTTGATAAGTTAACATGTACTCCCTTTATGCTCCTGGTAGGGGGTAAACAAATGCCTGAACAAATACAAATACACATAAACACGAATGTGGAGAATAGCTGTATATGTCTTAGATCCAGATAATAAGTGTGGGTATTGTTATTTAGATGGCGCATACTGGGACACTTATCTTTTAGTACACTCCATTTTCTAACTGAATGCAGCGCTAATCGTGGGATTGAAAGCCATTGTAATTGTGTACCCATCTAAATGCTGACAAGAATATACAATTACATTGTTTGGAATTGAGTTTAATGTTCTCTGAATTTTATTAGCATTTATATTTACTTATGCATTAAAATTCGACACAAAAAGAGGTCAGAACACAAGAGTTATAGACATAAATATCAGACCCATCCACACCCTCGCCGCATTCTTCCTGGAAATACTGAACGAGTAGATTTTATTTTATTTTATTTTTAAAGGAAGTGATAGAATCTGAAATGAGCAAATAATGGGTTTCCATTCTAAGCAGTGCCTTTTCTCCCTCTGGATTTTGCAGTCTTTTAAGGCTTTTTTTCATACCCAACTTTTTATTATTATTTATAATGTGCGTGTTACCGGAAAATCTTTCCACAGTATGCTTACCACCACACGATGTTTAAACACACATTATAAAGTGGATGTAATTGTAAACACTCAGAGGGATATAATTACATGTAGCAGATTTAGGAGCTAATTCTTTGCTTCTCTCTCTCTCCCTCTCGTTCTCTCTCTCTCTTTACTCTGCATTTTATCAACATAATTATTTTTTGACTGCAGTCTAACACCCAGAAACTGACAGGCATCCATTATAGGCACCAACTTGTTCACCAAATTGAAAAACAATGAACTGCAGGTTTATGTGTGCCCATTGTCACACAGAATTACCGGGGCTTTGTTCCACAAGAGGAAAAAGCTAATGGGTTTGAAACAGCAGGTGACAAAGCATATTCTTTCCCTCCCCCCCCCCCTTTTTTTTTTCTTTCTTTCCCCTCCCCTCTTATCAGTTTGTTGATGAAGTCATTACGAACTGGGGCCCAGAATGGGGTTGGCCTTATTTTTAGCAGATAGACTTTTAATGAGTTCTATTGTGGAGACAGTCATGTTGATTTGCTTACATTTTTTTTCCCCCCCTTCACTCAGAAACTCCCAGTATTGAAAAGCTACTATCAAAGGACTGGAAAGACAAGCTTCTTGCCATGGGATCAGGGAACTTTGGAGAAATAAAAGGTAACGCTGTTTCCGTGCTAAAGCAAATTGAGAATGAATGTACGGAGATCACTGGCTTTATGGAACTTTGTTTCTTTGCTCCTCTTCCTCTCCCCTTGAAACATCGTAATTTGGGGCTTAAATGAAATGTATGCTCTCCATCTGTGATTCATAGAAATAAATGGAATGGTATGTGTTGCCCTGAGAGAAAGAACTTACGTAAAGCTTTCGTTGCCTATATCGCTCTGTGGTATAAGAGGACACATCCCATTGCTGGGTTGGAAAAACAAAAGTCAATTCACACATCAAACACGGGCTTATGTGGTGTCAGAGTATAGCGGAGCTCGGCTTCTGAAATCGGAGGGTGATCAGAAGTCCTTGTAAATTTTTTGGACAGAATCTGACGATGTAGATTTTTTTTGTTTTTTAACTTTTCTGCACATTGGAGGGGGGGGGGGGAAAGCAAAGTTTGTGAAATGATACCTCTAGGTACCAAAATTAGCCAGTGCAGATTTTAAAAGACAGCGTACAACATCTGTGCACTAAAGCGTGTTCTTTTAAAGCCGTACTCCAGAAGGAAAATGACAAAATTTGACCACTCTCCAGCAGCAGTAGCTTCTGCTTTGCCAAGATATTTCCCCATTTTATAGACGTGAGGTCATTTTAGGGAACCTGTAGTTTTTTGTTTTCCTGTAATTTAGTATTTTTATAATTCTTCCTCAGTGATTGTGATGAGGAGCTGACTCAAACTACACGTGTGTCAAAAATTGTAGTTTCCAGAGCAGCCATTATCGCTCCGAAAAGAAACAGCGACTCCGATTCTTCTCCCGTTTATATCAGCATACATCTGGAGTAGCATAATCAAAGCCAACGTTGTTTTGGAAATGGGAAAGTAGAATGAGATGAAAATTAAACCCTTCTTTTTATGCTTATAAACTAGATTTCATTTCTCTCCGTTATTTTTTGTTTGTGTACGTACTGATGTTGTCCCCGATACCCAGATCCTCGGTCAGGCAGGCTCGCACACCTCATGCCTGACAGGTTTAAGGACCTTCTGCAGGAGAGGTGAGCAGCGTTCAGTAAAGAATACAACATGGCGTGCTCTGAGAGGTTAATGTGTTGCTACGTGTGGAAAGATAGTGTTATTTTAATTACACGTGCCTTCCAGCTTGTCACCGATAAGCCACCGGCATTAGTTTGCGCTCGTCCGCTGACTTACACAAGTAGGAAAGTATGCCACTTGCTTCCCCTAGCTTCTCCCCAAGAGGCTGTAATTCAAAAATATCTATTCATTACATATGTTAAACAACTTTAAACCAGCACATTCGACCCCAAATAGGCTGAGACGTTATTATTATTATTATTATTGTAATAACAGAGGGCCAAACCCCGCGTTCTTTATTCCCACTGAGCACGTTTTCTCCGTGTGCGCGAAGCAACAGGTCATCAAGAGGTAGGGCAGCCACTGGGCTTCTCTGCGAGCTCTGGTTTTTAAAAGCATATTGTTTTAAAATAACATCGTCCTCTGCCATGAACTGATGAATCTTTAAGATGTTTCAGGCCCAAAGTACACACAGGCGGCTTTCATATCCACTTCTGGGTGTGTGTTTTCAGCGGTTCGTGCATGTTGTCTGGAGCCCCTTTAACTCCTGACACGCCGGAGCCTTCCGAAGGACTCCCAGGCGCTCTCCTTCTGCCTTTGGGCTCGGCAGAGCTGCTCCGACAAGGGCTGCACACTGAGAAGGCGGTCTGTTCCCAGTCCTTATGATCTTGTTCTGTTGGAGGGCAATCTTTCTTTCTCCCTTCCTCTCTTTCCACAAGTTAACCTTGAAAGCGGCAGCAGCAGCTATATGCTAGCACGAAAGAAATTCAACAGTCCTTTCAGTCTTGCCCGGGGGGAGGATGTGGAGCAACAGCACAGCCTCAAAGAGGAGTTTTCTTTGCTTTAATTTTTTGTTTTTTAGCTTCATATTTGGAACACAAGTCGAGTTATTGTTCTGTAGCTCTGTTCAAAAGCCTCACATCTGAGGCTTTTCAGTGCAACTGTGGTTCTATGGTTGGGGGCATGGTTATTAGGTGTTTGGATCAGGTTTGGCAGTAAGCTGTGAAAACAGGCACTGGTTTATTTTTCCTACTGACTGCCGTGACAGTTGCAATTATTGTCCATTGTTCCTAGGTGGCTAGAAGGGAGGGAGGATACAATAGAGCATTACCCTCTGGGGGTAAATGAATTTGACTTACAGGTTCTTGGGGGGTCAGGCAGGCTGATTATTTAGTGCCCAGGAATGCGGTTTTCATGGCACCGCCAGCCATGAGCAGCCCACAAACAATGGCTCAGCTGTGTTGCAGCTGTATTTAGCGGGGCAGCACGAAAGGTGTGCAAGTCGAGCTGGTTTATACTCACGTATGCCGTGTACAAACACACATATATTATGCTACGAAATGCTTTTGTCCTTCTATAGGACGGTTTTCCAGTTGCGATTTTTTTAATTAACTTCTCTCAGTATTTGGCTTGGCAGCCTCTTTCCCCCCGTTTCGCTATTAGTGGTATTTGGAAACCCCGTACAAGTAGTGTCTTATTATTAATACAGCCTGGAATGTGGACAGCACTCGAAGCTGTACTGCCCAACTGTCTTTATGCGCTGAATAGTTTTTTCCGTGTAACTGTTCAAAATTTCATTGTGTTTTTCATTAGATCTGGGGGAGTTTTAGTACGTCATGTGCTAAAGTCTCAGCACTAGGCTACATATTGTTAATACCCGAGTCTGTGCTATTACTGTTGAGTTTTATTCTCTGGGTGAGATAAAAAAAAAGGGAAACGAAGCGGATGACTTTATTTTCTATTAGTGTTACTTATTTTAAGTTAGAAAGCAGTAGTATTTTATTCAAGATCGGGTGGTTGGTGACTGGCTGGGAGTGACCAGACTCCTGTGTTCTCTGTTCAGTGGTTGTCCTGTCTTGCTTTGTTACTTTTGGCATCTGCATGCCTGTGAAACGGGAGAACCATCACTGAGTGTCTGCAGAGGTCTAGCTGCAGACTTCAAGATCACAGTCAGAAGGATCTATGGATGTCCAGTTCCTAACGGAAGAGGAAATGTAGTATGTCATTCCGGGCCTTGACTGAAAGGTACTGCGAGGGAATACTCTTGAAGTGGGGCAAAATCTAGAACCTGTCATATCTGTAGAGATTTTAACTCAAATGCCTCTGTTTAGAGAAGCAGCATGGGGATAAATAAATAATACAGTTTGGCACTGGAGACTTCTTAAGAAGTTTTGTATTGAAATCCATGGAATTTTTACTCTCTCCAAAATAAGTCAGTCTATAGCAAAACCCACAAAACATGCCGTTAAATTGAAACATTTTAAAATCAAACTGTAAAACTGTATATTGAATTGGTTAAAGCCTGTTCAAACTTACTTCTATCCATCATATTCAAGAACAGGGCTTAAAAGACCTCTGGATTATTCCCGGATAATGCAGTTTATTGGATTCAGTGGAGCAGAGAGAACTTCAGGTCTCAAACCGACCATCTACAGGAGGGAGAATGATACCCCTCTCTGCTTTCGGCAGAGCCGCCCGATACCTGTGCGCTGCAGGGTGAAGGGGGCTGCTTTCCTCCAAAGTTACCGACCGCAGCAGGTGCAGCACGTAGGCTGGACCCTTGGTAGGAAAAGCTATATGGATTTATTTCCATGCTCCTCAGTGACTGTGGCCACCTCTATACTTAGAAAAATCACCGAAAACTTGTGTTTGACTGGTGCTGGGCCTCATCTGGGCAGACTTGAGGGGGCGGTGCTGGCCCCCCACATCCGGGGGATGGATGCACCATGGATGGGGGATGGAGCACGGTCTTGCTAACGCTGGTGTGGGTGAGGCAGGTTTACCCGGGATGAGAACTCTTTAACGTCCTGGGTGTACACGGAGCCTTTCTGCTAATCTTGTCCATCTCTCGCTTATCGAGGGTTGTCAAGAAATAACAATACATATTTTATATGTTCCCCACTTAGCTGGTTTTGAATAGGTGTGTGGAACAAAAGGCCCAACTGACTGTTGTTTCTAATCTGTCTGAGTTGGTTTTCTGTTGAAGTGAAGGCATTGTTAGCAGTGATTGCTCCTGAATCTCTCAAGACCAGGCAAGCCTGAACGTGGTATTTTTTTGTTGTTTGAAAATCCTTCTCTATTGTACAGGTTCATTCCTAAACAACTCAGGTGAAGGGTTTTCTGCACTCAGCGTGAAAGGGACCGTCCTAAGGGTACATTCAGCTCTTCCTTGTAGCCACTTAAATCTAGGTGACTCCCAAGACTGGCTGGAGTAACCACAGGTTTGTGAGTGTAAATGAAGGCAAGGTTGGCCTACCAATCCTGGACTTCAACCCACTATAACACAGACCTTTGTTTTGTGCTGGAAAGTGGGTTCCAAGTTACGCGGAGGATCCGTGCAGGTATTACCTCACGCTGCGTTTGATGTGTGATAGAGCTGTGTTTGCTGAAGACTCCCATCTTGCTTCTATGTTCGGGAGACGGGGGCATGAGAGAGTACGCGGTGAACGGTCTTAGGGCTGCCAATAATGGATAAAGAGAAATAATCCATTCAGCGATACTATAGCTCGTCAGAGCCCATGAATTAAAGACATATGTTATGTAGATTCAATGTATGGATTAAAATGGATAATCTGGTAGGTGACACACAGAATCTTGAGATAAGTGGGCTATGCAGATTCGGTATATGGATTGTGACGGGTAATTCCATTTAAGTCCTGCTGGACAAGTTGAAGACAAGTAAGCTTTGGGTGGTGCTCAGGTTAGGCGCAGTAATCCAGTGAGTGACACTTTGGATCACATAATCTGTAAACTGAAGGCAAGGAAGCTGGGGATTCTGCATTTAGATGGGGACAGGAGGAAGGAGGGGGGCAGGGGAGAGAGATTATTCACGGGGAATACACTGGGTTTAAACCTTTGACTAATAAAGCACAGATCCCCAGGAGATGTGCGAAAGCTGCACACTTTCTTAGGAGCTGTG